CTTAGTGTTGTAAATAGTTAGATAAGTAGTTCTTTTGTTCTTTAACGACTAGCGTGTTAGTGTTGTAGATAGGTTAGATAGTCCCCTGTGGGACTTAGCTCAGGGACGGGGCATGCCCCGGGCCCTGGTTTCAAGTCTTTTGATCGCTGTAGAAAGCCTATGCCAATAGGCGACCCTCACCAAAGTTGCTTGAAGTGTTTGGGAGAAGCCCACATTAGCGATAAGTGTTTCAGCCCTCGCGACGGTCTCCAAGCCGCCAAAATTGGACTTGGCACCAAGTACAGCAGCATCAGTGCAAAGTGCACCTCTGGCACTGGCCTTCCAGTGCCGGTCACAGTCCCGGTACTGGCTAAGAAGCAGAGGAAGCACCCAGGGAGAGGACATTCCCTGACATCCCGTGTGGGAAAGGAAAAGTCTGGGGAGGAGCATAGACCCTCGTGGGGCAGAAAGTCTCCGGAGCCCAGCCAGGCACCTGTATCGCCAGGTAGGCCAGCCAGCCCTCCTAGGAATGCACTGGCCACCCCAGGTAGTGGCAGAGGCCCCAGCACCTGGAAGTCTCCAGGGGGAAGCCAGCACTGGAATCCATGCCATGTTCTCTGTCTGTGCGGCATCGCTCCCTGGCACCGCGGCAGTTGACATCAAAGTGACAATCCCCAGGGATGCGCTTCTGACCTACCCAGACTGACCAATGTTCCTAGCACCATTCACGGGACTCTCGGCACCTGTTCCCTGTGGGATGGCACCGCTCACCTGATGGCCAACACGGCCTCAGCTCGCCAACGGTCCCCAGAATGGCTCCAGTCTCTGGACAGGAGATGTCGCTCCCTGGGATGAGGGACTCCATCAGGGCCCCGATGAAGTCAATCCCAGCCGTTACCGAGGTGCAGATCGCTGGACTCACGGCACCGATCGTCCGGGTCGAGGCAGCGCTCCCCTCCATCCCATTCCCAGTCACCAGACTCACAGCACTGATCTCAGAGCACTAGGCGTCAACTACCGGGTCACCGTCACTGATCCCCCGAGCTCCGTCACCGATCCCTGGGCAGATGGCTTCAGGGCTCGGCTCTCTGGTACCGGTCCCCCTGCTGCAGACATCAGGATAGCAGGCAGGGAGAGGACTTCGAGACTGCATCAGCACCGCAGTGGTCTCCAAGGCAAGACCTTTCCCCTTCAAGCTCAGAGGAGGAGGAGGTAGCTGGTGTCTTGGGCCAGGCACACCCAGCCAAATCGGGGGGGCTCCCCCAGGGCCACTGCCTGGTGCATAGCCCCAGGGCCAATGGCCTGTCCCTTGGCAGTTTTGGAGGTTTCCCCAGGCACCAGAGACAATCATGCAGTGCTCTGTGTCAGGAGCATCAGAGAGGAGGTCAGCGACAGTATCCCGCCTGCCCCTGGACAAGGACGAAGGGTCTGAGCAGGATGCCCAGGAACCTCCCCCAGCCTCGGTGGAGGCCACCTAAGCAGAGGACGCAGAGCCAATCCCTCCTCCCATTCTCGCCTCCTTGTCATCCTTGCCCGACAAAGCAGTGGCGGGACCATCCCAGACAGTACCACAGGACGATGCCAAGGCACACCAGGAGTTGCTGAAGAGGGTGGCAGCGTACCTGGAGTTGGAGGCAGAGGAGTTGGTGGAACCCTCGGACGCCTTGTTTGACATCTTGGCTGCGGTAGCCCCATCCAGGGTGGTACTCCCCATTCATGAAGGGGTGGTAAAGCTGGTAAAAAACTTTGTGGCAAACCCCATCCTCTCTCCTGGCCAGGAGGGCAGGCGGAGAAAAAGTATTACCTCCCTGCGAAAGGGTTTGAATACTTGTATTCTCACCCGGCTCCGAACTCTCTAGTGGTCTCAGTGGTCAACGAGAGAGAGAGACAAGGGCAGCCAGGCCCAACTTCCAAAAATAAGGATGGCAAAATGCTTGATTTATTCAGGAGAAAAGTTTATTCATCTGCCAGCCACCAATTGTGAGTGGCAAACCATCAGGCCTTACTCGGGAGGTATGATTTCAATGTGTGGCAGTCAATATCTAAGTTTGCAGACTCGTTACCTGAGGAGTCCACGCAAGAGTTCCTTGCCATCCTAGATGAGGGGAAAACTGGCAAGGGCCTCCCTTTAGGCTGCCTCGGATGCAGCGGACTCGGCCACGAGATCCATAACGACAACTGTGTCCATGAGGTGGGCATCGTGGCTGATGTCCTCTGGGATGTCGACAGAGGCTCAACTCTCGATCGAGGACCTCCCTTTTAATGGCCTGGCCCTGTTCGCAGAACAGACAGACACAAGGTTGCATGGGCTTAAGGATTCTAGGGTTATCCTACGTTCCCTTGGCCTATATACACCGGCCGCCTAGAAAGAAGTTCAAACCGCAGCAACCCCATAGACCAAATGGTCAATCCAGACCAGAGCCCTACCACAAGAAGGGCAGGGACTATAAGCACCGCCAAGGCCAACAATCGGGCCCTGCCTCTCACTCGTCAGTTTACGTCCCGGCCAGGCACCACCTGGAGAGAATCCTCACAATTCTGCCGCAAGTGCTTACAACTCTGAAATGGTGATCAAACCCAGTAAACATTTCTGAAGGAACACCCTTTACAACCCCAAAACCCACAAAGATGCTAGTGTCGGACATGTCCAACCTAGCTGGGGGACCCACCTTGGATCGCTGAAAATCCAGAGGTTGTGGTCCTGGGAGGAGCTCACACTACACACACAAATGTCAGGGAGCTCAGAGGCATCCGTTTGGCTTGCGAGGTGTCCTTCCCTGACTATCCCATCAAGTGGTTAGGTGTAGACTGACAATACAGCCACCATGTTCTATGTCAACAGGCAATGAGGAGTGAGTTCTCGGCTCTCTGCCAAGAAGCCCTCCAGCTGTGGGAGTTCTGTATCCAGCACGGCATACACATCGAGGTGATACATCTCCTCAGTGTCCGAAACACACTGGCAAATTGCCTCAGCAGGGCGTTCTGTTCTCACCACAAGTGGTCCCTCCACGAGGAGGTTGTCAAAATGATCTTCCAGAGGTGGTGTACCAAGTGGACCTGTTCGCCACCAGGTGGAACAGGAAGTACCATCAGTTTTGCTCCCTCCAAGGACTTTTCTCCTGTCTTGGGCAGACGACCTGATGTACGCCTTCCCACCAATCCCTCTTATCGGCAGGACCCTCCTGAAAATAAAGAGGGACAAAGTCACGGTCGCCATGATCACCCCAGCGTAGCCCCACCAGCATTAGTTTGGCATGCTCATGGACTTGGCGTCAGCGCCCCCATTGACGCTTCCCAACCACCCAGATCTGCTCTCTCAGGATCACGGGAGGTTATGCAGCCAAACCTCGCCTCACTCCACCTCTCAGCGTGATGTTGCGTGGCTGAACCCAGAGGAGCAGGCCTGCTCTACTCATGTCCAGCGAGTGCTGCTGGAAAGTAGAAATCCCTCTACTAGAGTAACTTACCTGGCGAAATGGAAACGCTTCTCCTGCTAGGCGTTGGAGCAAGGGATCTCCCCGACCCAGTAGTCTCTGCAGTCCATTCTAGACTACCTGCTTCATTTAAAGCATCAGGGCCTAGCCTTCTCCTTGATCAAGGTGCACCTGGCAGCCATTTCAGCCTTCCAGGGCAGATCGGTGTTCTCACATGAGATGACAATCAGGTTCCGTAAGGGCCTGGAAAGGCTCTTTCCGCCAGTCCGGAACCGGGTACCCCAGTGGGACCTCAATCTAGTCCTTTCTAGGCTCACTGGCCCTCCCTTCGAGCTGTTAGCCTCCTGCTCTCTTTCACATCTATTGTGGAAAGTTACCTTCCGTGTGACTATCACTTCAGTGAGGCGGGTCTCCGAGGTTAAAGCCCTTACATTAGTGTACTACAAGGACAAGGTTCAGTTATATGCCCACCCAGCTTTCCTGCCAAAGGTGGTGTCGATTTTCCATATTAACCAGGACATATTTCTCCTCGTTTTTTGCCTGAAGCCTGGCGCGTTGAACGAGGAGAGCCATATGCACACCCTTGACATTAGGTGGGTTCTGGCCTTTTCCTTAGAGCGTACTAAGTCCTTCATCGCAGTGGCCAACAGAATGAAAGGCCTCCCGGTATCTTCTCAAAGGCTTTTGTCTTGGATTGCCACTTGCATTCGCACTTGTTATGAGCTGGCACAAGTTGTATCTCCACAGATAGTGATGGCTCATTCGACCAGAGCTCAGGTGTCATTGGCAGCCTTCCTGGCGCAAGTCCCTATCCAGGATATCTGCAGGGCCACAACGTCGTTGTTGGTGCATACCTTCATGACCCACTACGCCATCACCCAGCAGGCTAAAGATGAGGCTGGCTTTGACAGAGCTGTGTTGCAATCGACACAGCCATGAACTCCTACCCACCTCCGGGGATACTGCTTGGGAGTCACCTAACATGGAATGGACATGAGCAATCACGCGAAGAGGAAAAAACAGTTACTAACCTTTCATAACTGTTGTTTTTGGAGATGTGTTGCTCATGCTCATTCCATGACCCGCCCTCCTTCCCCACTGTCAGAGTTCTGGCAAGAAGGAACTGAGGGAGGGAGGGGGCTGGCAGTGCCCCTTACACCAGCGCACATGTGCGCCACTCCAGCGGGCTCCAGAGCTGCTCCCCTACGGATACCACTGAGGGAAAAACTTCCGGCACTGGTGCATGTGTCGAGCACACACACCTAACATGCCAGTTTAGATGACTGTGGAGATACTCTCATAAAGTATGTAGACTGTTAATGCTGCTTATCTTCTAAGGCGAGTCAAAAGATGATATTGTATGAAGTGTTGTCTGTCTTCCTACTGCCATTATCCATCCCAACAGAAGAAGAGTTCAAAAGGGGTGTACATCTACTAAACAAATTGGCTAAACAAACAACATCTTGGTTTCACAGCATAACTTCTCAGGTGTAAAATGTCATGAATCCCTTGCATAGAATATTGTGAAGAATTCTTAACAAAGCCAAGAAAGCTTGAATGTAAAATGTGGGCATCATTATTTTTCAGATATAAGGAAGCGGTTGTCGCTTATGAGAATGCCAAACAATGGGATAATGTAATCCGGCTATATTTGGATCATCTTAACAATCCTGAAAAAGCTGTTAGTATTGTCAGGGAAACACAGTCTCTCGATGGAGCCAAGATGGTAGCCAGGTAATGCAGTACTGTAGTTACATTAGATAGATTTACAAACCTAACTTTCCTAACCTTATTTCTTTATAACCTCTCATGCTATCGTCCTTGTTGCTCTCTTCTATGTTTTTTGCCAAGTTCTAGAATTATGTACTAGAAGTGATTCAAAAATGAGATGTAAACAGTAAACCGGGGTGGGCAAACTTTTTGGCCCAAGGGCCACATCTGGGTGGGGAAATTGCATGCAGGGCCATGAATGTAGGGCTGGGGCAGGGGGTTGGGGTGTGTGGGTGTGTGGGAGGGGGTGCGGCAGGGGGCTGGGGTGCAGGAGAGGTGTGAGGTGCGGCAGGGAGCTCAGGGCAGGGGGTTGGGGTGCAGCAGGGGGCTCAGGGAAGGGGGTTGGAGTGCAGGAGGCATGCAGCAGGGGGCTCAGGGCAGGGGGTTGGGGTGCAGGAGGGGTTCAGGATGCGGGCTTCGGCCCGGCGCTGCTTACCTGGAGCGGCTCCGGGGTGGCAGCAGGGCTAAGACAGGCTCCTCCACGCCACGCCACGCTGCTCCCGGAAGCGGCTGGCATCACGTCCCTGTGGCCTCTGGGAGGGGGGGGTGGGCGGGCGGCAGAGGGCTCCGCGCGCTGCCCTCGCCTGCAGGTACCTCTCCTGAAGCTCCCATTGGCCATGGTTCCCCATTCCTGGCCCCCCACCTTCCCCAGGGGCCGAAGGGACATGGTGCTGGCCGCTTCCCGGAGCGCCACAGAGGTGGCAATCCTGCGGGCCAGGTCCAAAGTCCTGATGGGCTGGATCCGGCCCGCGGGCCATAGTTTGCCCACCCCTGTAGTAAGCCGTCGAGTCCATCCACAGAGAGGTTTCACTTTTACAAAGGGCTGTTTAGTTTTTTGGATATCTTCTCTATTAATTTGTTGATACATTCCAGTCTTCTGTTTGCTTTTCTTACTATAGAAGTCTTAAGTTTTTGTCCATTCTTATCAACAGATTTTTTGCTTGATTCATGTCTTCTAGCTTGTAACCATGTAAAGCATAGTCCCTTTAGTTACGTTATTTATATTATATTCTGTTTTCCTCATTACCTGGTATCTGGGAGGGATATTCTTATTTTATTTTATTTTGTAGCATGTATTTGAATTTATGGGGTGGGCACCTAGTGCATAGAAGGGGCACCTCTAGGTTATTTTCATAAATCTGAATCTGTGGTTTTTTGTATAGTGCAACACTTCATAATCCCTGAGTTGAGCACTGAAAGGATTAATCGCATGCTGGGGGCTTCTTCTTTTTTTAAGCTTCTAGAATGCTCATGTTAGCACATCTGTAGCTTTATGTAGGGCCAAAGCTGGTGCTAGACAGTTAAATTTTTACATTTGGAAACCGAGGGTGATATTCACTCATGGTGTTGAGGACCAGTGCAAATCTCTGCACCATGTAAGCTTAGTCAGCTAGGTAGCCAGACAAGCTGCCTAATGCATGCCATGGAGCTAGTCACTGTACTAGTCATTGCAGGACATGTGTGGAAGGTGCCATCAGGGACAAAGGAAGTCCATGGGGACCACTTCCAGTTTGTGTTTATGCAGATCCAGTGGTCCCAGCATCCTGTAGAACCATTGCATTGGGGTTGTGGCTGCTACTGGAGCCCTGCATACTAACTTTGGGGAGGGAGGGGAGCGGGGGGAGAGTATGTGAGTGTATTTCATCACTACATCCTCCCTGCAGTCTCAGGTTTCTACACAAGGGAAGTGAATTTCACTCTGAGTGCATAATTTTGAATGTTCTCACCCTTACATACAATAACACAAACAGACAAAAGCAGTAAATATCCATTCAGTTCAAAGTGCCATGTATGGTTGCCTGGGTGCATATCAAGAACATCACACTTTATTAAGAATGCGTAATGGACATAATTGGACAGATGACGTGGAACAATCAGAACTTCAGCTTTATTATTTTTAAAGCATATTTCAAAGGCAGTAGTCCTCACTGAGAACCAGTGTCAAATTTTAAATGGAAAGAAGAGTACGGTATATGAAAATATCATTAGAAAAAGGCTTCTGAAGAACATTTTTTGCATTTGAATGTCTCAAAATTGGCCAAATAGAAATTTATCAGTTTCACCAAAAAAGTTCACTTTTGGCCTGTCAATAAACATACAAAATTTGATCCCAAATGATAGAATCTTTTAGAAAACTATAAACAAGCAAGCTTCAAATAGAAAAGCCTTCTCATCCATAATTCTTACTAGAAATTAGTTTATCATAAGGTACAAGCATATGCTAATAGCAGCACACTAGAAGAATGATTTAATGGTCCCTCCATTGCCACACTCATTGCACAAGAGAGATTTTCTTTGGAAAACATTTGGTGTGTGTTTATTATGTTATTTAACAAAAGTATTAATGTGTTTATTCTGATCAGATTCTTTCTGCAGTTGGGTGACTATGGTTCTGCCATCCAGTTTCTGGTCATGTCTAAGTGTAATAATGAAGCTTTCACACTGGCCCAACAGCACAATAAGATGGAGATTTATGCTGACATCATTGGTGAGAATTCTATTTTAATAATTTTATTTGGAATTCTTTAGCAATTTATGGCCTATTTGTGAAGAAAGGCATAGAGAAGTCTGTAATAATAATGTGCAGCTGTGTGAAATTTCACATCTCTTTGATCCATGGTCACCTACAGAATTCAGTTTTCTGCCTTATTAATACTAGGAGGCAATGGAAAACTCACTGAACCAGTTCACAGTTATGCCATTTGACCAGGCCTAATAAACAACCAGGGTAATTACATTATGGTGTGTAAAACCTAAATTAAAGAACTGCTCCAGTAAGTCATTAGTAAGGCAGCGAGTTTGTCATGGATTCTGTGACTTCTGCAGCAGCTGGTGCACCTGGCTCAGGGGCAGCTTAGGCAGCCCCTGCACCAGGCGCACCAGCCACTGCTGGAGCAGTCTTGTGCCACTGCCTCCTCCCCGAGCAGCAGAGTTTGGGTGTGGGAGGGGGCATGGGGTTGGGGCACGGGATGGGGTGAGATGGGCTCTGGGCGGCACTTACCTGGGGCTCCCCAGAAGCAGCGATATCCCCCTCCCTCAGCCTCTAGGCGGAGGTGTGGCCAGGCAGCTCTGCATCCTGCCTCCGCCTGCAGGCACCGCCCCCGCAGTTCCCATTGGCCACAGTTCCCAGCCAGTGGGAGCTGTGAGGCCAACACTCTGGGTGGAGGCAGCACGCAGAGCTACCTGGTCATGCCTCCGCTTAGCAGCTGAGCGGAGGGGATGTCGCCGCTTCCAGGGAGCCCCCCAGGTAAGCGCTGCCCAGAGCCTGCCTCACCCCATCCCGTACCCCTGCCCCCTCCTACACCCAAACTCTACTGCTGCTGGGGGGGGAGGCATGGAGCCAGGTCGGGAACCTGCCAGTCCCGCCATCACGCCCCCC